TGGTCAGAGGGGCGAGGACGACGAGCATATAGGAGGCGGAAACGGAAAGGGACACCAACTTTCCTCTTGGTTGCCCGCCCGCCCATGCACCTCATATCCGTCGTCCCCCCCCCCCCCCCCGAAGCAGGGTAGCAATACATGCGGCGGGTAGCAGGTGAAGGGATCCGACTGCTTCCTCCCACCACTCAGTCTGAGAGATATTGCAAGGCGAGGGCGAGGGGCGCTGAGGAGAGGGAGAAGGACGGAGCGAGGCTGATGATGATGAGGAGGAACGTATGAAGCCTCCTCACTCTCCAACCATCCCTTGAGTAAGGGGCAGCGGGATGATTCCGATGACGATGATGCTGATGATGTGGATGTCAAGGGGGGCAGGGAACACAGCTGAGGAAGAGGGAAGAGGATCCCCTCTCCGCCTTCATCCATGTCTTCTCTCCTGATGCGCTTCTCCATCACCCTCGTCCCACCCCCGTCGCGACTGTCCGACATGTTCTCGCCACGCACGAAGAGCGGGGCCTGCGCCGATAGTGATGGGGAGTCGGGCGCCGAGGAGGACGATGGCGGCGATGGGGCGGGGGACGGGGGGGGGGGAGATGAGGATTCAGAAGGTGAGGTCATGCGTAGCGTGAGGGAATTGGATGAACTGATGGCGCGCAGGAGCAGGAGGAATGCGAGGCCACGGGTGACGGATGAAGGGGGGGGTAACCCCCAGCCGTCGCCGTGTACCTACTTCTCTTGGGCCGGGGGTGGTGGTGTGGCGTATGCGAATGCGGAGGGTGAAGGGAGGGCGCCCTGCTTCCGCCAGCATCATCGTCGCTCGGTCTCCCAAGTACGATCAGCAGCAGGTAGCAACCCCCTTCGGAGGAAGGACGTGGATGTGTGCGATGGTATCGAGGGGGTGAGCACGAGGAGGGGAGACGATGTGGATTACAACGTGGATTACGATGATGATGTGATGATGATGTTGATGCTGATGCTACTGATGATGATGATGATGATGATGATGATGATGATTATGATGATGATGATGATGATGATGATGATGATGATGATGATGATGATGATGATGATGATGATGATGATGATGATGATGATTATGATTATGATGAAGATGATGATGCTGATGATGCTGATGATGATGACGACGAGGGCGGCGAAGATGATTCTGATACTGATAATGGTGATGGTGATGGTGATGATGATGACGACGAGGGCGGCGAAGATGATTATGATAATGGTGATGGTGATGATGATGAGGGCGAGGAGGAGTGAATGAGGAAGACGAGGACGGCGATGACGTAGAAGGTGCGTGGGAGGGGAGAGCCCCCAGGTAATGTTCGACAGGTGAGGGGGAGGAGAGGGAGGAGGAGGAGGGAGGAGGAGGAGGGAGGAGGAGGAGGAGGAGGAGGAGGAAGAAAAGGAGGAGGAGGAGGAGGAGGAGGAGGAGGAGGAGGACCCCCCCCCCCTCCGTATCCGCCGTCCTCGTCTTCGCCACCGTCCTGATCATCGCACTTCTGAGAGGTGCGATGCTACGGAGTGAGCGAACGACGGGGGCAGATGAATCTCCTCACCATGACTCATCATCGCCCCTCCGACTCGTCGTCATCCGCATCATGTCTCCTCTGCGAGGAACGGATGGAAGATGCAGGACAACGGAGAAGCGGGGCGGCGAGGGGGAGGGTGAGGAAAATCCATCTGCGCAGAGAAATAAAGAGGAATGCGGAAAGAAGACTCATCCCATTTCCCCCCCATGATCGTGATTTTCATCATCCTGATCCATACAGTCCCCCGCGTCCTCTTCCTCATTTTCCCTCGCGCCCCCCCCCACCCCCGCTCACTCCTCCCACCCTCCCAACCATTGCCATCACCGGCCCATCCTCGTTTTCCTCCTCCTCTTCCTCCTCCTCCCCCCCATCCCCCCGCCTTTAACGCGTCGGAGGAGCGCGGGGGAGCAAGATGGAGGGAGGGAATGGAAGGATGAGACTTCGCATGACCCTCCACTCCTCCATCATTCTTTTATCTGATCTTCGGGATAGGAAGATGGCATGGAGTGCGAAAGTAGGGGAGGGGGGAGGGGAGGAGGAGGAGGAGGAGGAGGAGGAGGAGGAAGAGAAGGAGGAGGAAGAAGAGGAGACGGTGGAGGACGAGGATGGCGATGCGGGAAGCATATAGAGAAGGAAGAAAAGGATTATGAGGGAGAACAACACATCATGAGGAGGAGGAGGAGGAAGGGGAGTGAGAGGGGGACGAGTTAGCGGATGAGGAGGGAGTGGAGGAGGATGAGGAGGATTGATCGGATTACCTTATTTGTAAAGACGCTACGAAGGATATTTATGTGTACATCCTCCACACGAGCAGTCCGATTGAAATCGCCCACAATTAATCCGAGTGCAGCCCTCCCAAAAAACCGAATCTATTGCCCCCCCCCGTGAAAAGGAATCGAATTGCAGTCCCCCAAAAAACAGGAATCCGAGTGTAACCATCCACAAACGGAGCCTTGGTGCTATCCCCCACAAAAGGAACCGGACGGTAATCCTCCACAAAAGAAATCAGATAGCAATTCTCCTCCAAAGGAACCCGAGTGTAACCCCCTTCGCAATGCATCCTGGCGCAATCCTCCCCAAGGGGAGTCCATTGCAATTATTGCCAAAAGGAATCACAGTGCAATATTATTCCAATCTTCCTCGCGGGGAATCCGCTTTCAATCCTCCTCAAGTGTAATACGAGTGTATTATGTCCCAGAAGAAATCATGTTGTAGTCCCCAACCAACTGAATACGATGTTGATTCTTTGCGCGCGGAATGCAATTCTACTCCCACTGGAAATCTTGTTATAATCTTCCACACAAGGAATGCCAATGTAGTCTTCTACAAAAAGGAGTCCTGGTGCCATGCACCACAGAAGAAACCCCATTTTAATATTCTACGATAAGAATCCGGGCGCATTCCTTTGAAATTGAGCGTCCGAAGACCTGGCAGGCCCACCGAGTTTTTTTGACGAGCTCTATATTGTGTTGATCGTTAAGCGGAGTGTGTTCTGAGATCTTTTCCAAACTTGATCAGCCCACTGGAATCAGGACGGTTGCAATGTGATGCAATAGTACTTCTAGGATGGGTTACAGCAGGACTCCTTTCGAGGAGAAATTTGATAATATTTGTTGCGGGGGATTGCACGAGTATTCCTTTTTGTGGAGGATCACACTAGGATTCGTCTTGCGGGGGATTGTAAATGGATTCCAGTTGTGGAGGATTACAGCCGGATCTCTTGCGTAAAAGGATACACTCGAATTCCTGGCGCAGATGATTATAATATAATTCCCTCCGTGGAAGATTACGATCGTACTTGATGGGATTCCGTGTGCGCAGGATTACAATAATGTTCCTTTGGTTCCGCATTGCGGCAGGATTTTTTCGTGCAGATTTTTCGAGGATTCAAATTGGTATCTCCCCAAGGGGACTCCCAGAATCCCCCGTTCGCCAAAAAACAACCCAGAATGAAACACCTGCCCTGGACAGGGGTCGACGTCGTACAAAAGCAGGCCTGGGAGTATCGCTGCACCTTGCCAATGGGCCAGGGTTCCTTGGCGCCACCTGCACTCCGCCTCTGGGTGGAGACGTTGGCGCCAAGGGAGCCTGGCGGACATGGCACCTACATCGCCACCCAGGGAGGCAGGTCGGCCAGCGCAGAAAATCTTTACCCGAGTGGGGTGGAGATAGGTCTACAGTGGGCACGTCAAGCAAGAGACCAGCCTGCCAGCAGGTGCCCCAGGGGAGTCTGCAATCCCCTGGTGGCCCTGGGGGCCCACAGAAGCCGTGGGGCACCTCAGGAAGTTCAAAGCTCGACGAGACACGTGCCCCGAGGCGTCTGAAAGCACGATCTCTTGTCGCTTGCGCCGGCTCCATCGATGCTGGCTCGCACGTCTCGCCCCCGTACGCTGCGTCTCGATCCGCCCGCGCCCCCAGCCGCCGACAGCGGCGGCCGGCGCGCGGCGTCGGCGCCCGCGCCCCAGGGCCCGCTCCGCCCCCGTGGCTCGCGCCCTCGATCGACTCCGCGCGAGAGTGGCCCTTCGCCGGCGTGACCCCTGGATTGCCGGGTGCTGTCTGCGGAGGAAACGATACCGATGGCGCTGCTCGTCCTGGAGCGCCCTCGTCGCCACGGCTGGATGATGCTGGATTCTCCTCGGAATCTTGGTCGGAACGCACCTCTTGAGAGGTCCATGCAGCAGCGGTGCGTATGGGAATCTCGTTGATCCTCCAGATCTCTGGCGATATTACTTTTTCAACCAGCGTTTCTTTCCTCGATGCCGGCCCTCGGGGCCCAAACGAGGCCCTGGGACTGTCAAAACTGAAAGCGGACGAAAGAGGTCAGGATTGTTGGTGCCGCGGATGTTGGTTCAACGTCGGCGGATGTTAGGGATCTGCTTCGCGTCAGCGTGATGACTCTTCGCCGGCATGATCCCTGGTGCGGGCCCGCTCGTGTCTCCAGATCCCTGGCTGCTGCGCGATATAGCGGCGACTTCCTGGCTCGTATTTGCCCCTGGCCTCGGCATCGCTCGGACGTGCGCATCTGTTCTCGGCGAGGACCATCGAGGGGCATCCTGGATCGTCTGGCGAAAACGCAAAAAAAACGCACGAAAGCGAACACCGCACGGGGAGTGGACGTGCCCCCTGCCCACCCAGGGTCGCTGCGCCTCCCGCCCTCGCTCTGCTCCTCCGTCCCAGCTCGCCACAGGGCTCGCCTTTGTGCGTCGTCGTCGTCGTCATCGTCGTCGTCGTCGCCCGTTGTCGTCGCCCGTTGTCGTCACCGTCGTCGTCGCCGTCGTCGTCGTCGTTGTTGTCGTCGTCGTCGTCGGCGTCGTCGTCGTCGTCCTTCGTCCATCGCCGTCGTCGGGCGTCCGTCACCGTCAGCTCCCGTCGGCGTCGTCGTTGTCGTCGTCGCCGACGGGCCATTCTAAGATCCTTGTTCCCCTGGCCCAGCTTGGCAGGGGCGCGCCCCCTCTCCAGGACAAGCATGGGCGCGGCTTCGGCGTCGGCGATCGAGTGCGAGTCGCGCTCGGGCGGGGTGGGGGACGGGAGGCGCTTCCCCTCTACTTGCCCTTCCCTCCTCCGCCCTCTCTTCCCCCTCCATCCCGCTTCGCCCTGCTGCTTCGATTGCCCCTCTACCTGCCCTCCACGTTGTTTCACCCTGCTGCTTCAATCGACGCTCCCCGTCTCCTTGCCTCTCACCATCCACCATCTCTCTCCTTCCATCCCGCTTCGCCCTGCTGCTTCGATCAGTACTGGCTACAGTGGCACGGTCGTGTGAAAGCTTTCTTGGAGCCTCTCAGAGCTACGCCCCACCCCCCGACTGCTCTTTCGAGGGTCGCACCTCAGTGCTTGTCTATTTCCATCTCGTCATTCCCCTTCCCCGCTCTTCCTCCCCTTCCCCTCTTCACTTTATCAGCTTGTCAGCCATTGCGCTAAAGCCTAGACGTTGAAGTGAAGACCACTTTGGGTCCAGGAGGTGCTTTGGTTTTCGGGCCATTACTTTTGGATCCGGACGGGGAACCCATTCGTGGCCGAGGCTCGCCGTGGCCAGAAAAGCCCTTCCGTTCCGTCTTCAGCGTTCCTTGGTTGGGATAGCCCACAGATGCCGATACTGCTACCCTCTGGACCTTTCCCGAGGTGCATTCTGATCAGGATGTCGAGGCGAGTACAGCCGTGGCGACGGGGGAAAGGGAATCGGTAGAGGTATGTGTTACTTCTCTGACTCGATATGGTCGCACGATGACTGTAGTTTTTGGGTGCGTTTTGGAGTCGAGCAGGGCCCCTCGCAGCTCGGGCTGGCGTGGTCGTTCGGCTCGCCTCGTGACGGGGCCCGCTCAGCGGCACCGCCACGCAGGGCCACCTGAGGCGACGGTCCACGGCGCCCCTCCCTCCCCTCCCTCCCTCCCGCTCGCCCACCCCCAAGCTGGAAGTCGGAGGTGTCTCTAGCGGCACGCCGAGACGTATAGGAACGACACACCACCACGAGGACGTTCTGCCCCTCGGCCATGGCGGCGACCGCGTCGAAACCTGCGACGCACGCCGCTCAAGGCGGCTCTCGTGCCCCAATGCTTACGGTTGGGGCGCACGCCTGCATTGATGCTGCCCCTCACCGTGCACTGCTATGCTATGAGGCTAGTTGCGACTTGTTTGCCTTGCAGACCTGACGAGCCAACCTCGCGCGCGCCAGTGCTCATGCGATGGCGCGCCCGACCCGGCGGACGAACAACATGCTAAAAGGAAACGCAGTTCTGCGGTGGCAGTGCGCACGGGTGTGCGAAGAGGCAGAACAGCAGCGCGTGCAATGTACACGTATGTGATGACGTGCGAGTATATCCCGAACGAGACAAAGCAACATCAGCATGAATTGTTATGATGATTAGGATGAGGATGATAAGTAGCGAATGAGATAGCAGGAGTAGGAAGAGAAGGAGGAGGAGGACGAGCAGGAGGAACAGGAGGAGGAACGGAGAAGGCGCGGGGGGGGGGCAGGATGATGAGGATAATGATGAGGAGGAGGAGAGGAGGAGGAGAAGGACGAGGAGACAAGGGTGGAGGGATTAGGATGAGAATGATTATGAGGAGGACGACGACGAGAGGACGAGGAAGAAGGAGGGCGGGGGGAGGCAAGGGAGTACGAGGAGGGGAGGATATGATGATGATGATGATGATGATGATGATGATGATGATGATGATGATGATGATGATGATGATGATGATGGTGATGATTATGCGGGTGGACGAAAAGGACGAGGAGGTGGAGGAGGAGGAAAGAAGGAGGATGGGAAAGACTGGGACGAGAACGAGCTCGAGGTGTAGTCAGAGTCAGAGAGGAAGGGGAAAGAGGAGGAGGAGGAGGAGGAGGAGGATTACGAAGTGTAGGATGAGGCAGGAGGGAAGACGGAAGAGGAGGAGGAGGAGAGATGAGACAGGATGATGATGATGATGATGATGATGATGATGATGATGATGATGATGATGATGATGCTGATGCTGATGCTGATGCTGATGCTGATGCTGATGCTGATGCTGATGCTGGCGCGGATGCTGATGCTGATGCTGATGCTGACGAAGATGATGATGCTGATGCTGATGATGATTATGATGGTGATGGTGATGCTGATGATGCTGCTGATGATAATGATAATGATGCTGATGATGATGATGATGATGATGATGATGATGATGATTATGATGCTGATGCTGCCGATGATCAGGATGATGCGTCTGATGATGTTGCTGATAATGCTGATGATGAGGATGATGGTGATGGTGATGGTGATGATGATGATGATGAGGAGGAGGAGGAAGCGGAGAGGAGGAGGATCCTGAGGAGGAAGACGTGGATGAGGAGGAGGTCGGATGACGTTGATGATGAGGAGGAGCTCGAAGGAAGAGGATGAGGACGCCGATGATTATGATGAGGATGCTGGTGACGATGACGATGATGGTGATGATGATGCTGCTGCTGATGATAATGTTGCTGATGATGATGATGATGATGATGGTGATGATGCTGATGCTTATGCCGACGCTGATGCTGATGCTGATGCTGATGCTGCTGGTGGTGATGATGAGGATGATGATGATGATGAGGAGGATGATAATGATGATGATGATGATGATGCTGATGATGATGGTGATGATGATGATGATGATGATGCTGATGATGATGATGATGATGATGATGATGATGATGATGATGATGTTGCTGATAGGGGATGCTGATGGTGATGGTGATGATGATGAGGAGGAGGAGGAGGAGAAGGAGGAGGAGGAGGATGTGTAGGAGGAGGTCGGACGACGTTGATGATGAGGAGGCGCCCCAAGGAGGAGGATGAGGACAGGTAATTTCGCTGATGATCATGATGAAGAGGAGGAGAAGGAGGAGGAGCAGGAGGAGGAGGAGAGTGGACAGCATGCGGAGGAGGCTTGTTGATGATGGGGAGGAAGGAGGATAGACGATCAGGAAGATGACAATGGGCATGATGAAGGAGGAGGAAAGAGGGAGGAGAATGAGGAGGAGGAGGAGGAGGCGGACTGCAACGGTCCTCGCCTCTTGCTGCTGCAACACTCCTCGCCTTGCCCTTTTCCCCCCCTCGCTGCCTTGAGCCGGGGGCTCAACGGCCACGGCAGCCCTGAGCACCAGAGGGCCTTCCGCGCCACCTCCCCTGTCCACCTCACCGCCACTTGCAGCCGCCTACACCTCCTGTCCCCCCCCCCTTCCTCGTGTGATATGGATGCGCGCGCGGCGTGGATCTTTGGGCGAAAGCGAGCGCGGCTCGAGCGATCTGCGTAGCACTAGAAGGCCAAGGTCCCTGAGAAATAAAAATGGCAGCGGCGAGCAAGGAATGAAACCACAGGCCCCTCGAGGCTTCTGGGGAAATCCTCTCGGGCCGCTTACATTCCTAGGGAGTGAGCTTGATTCACACTCCTCCTAGGACATGCTCGGATCGCCGTCTCGGGCGTCAGAGCGGGGACTATAACAAGTCATTCGCCGGCAAAACACGGAGATGATTATCGAGATGATCTATCGGCTTGCACGGCATACAAGGTATACGCAGCAATGGCAAGGGTTCGATCGCGAAGCGACAGAACCCAAAATAATATAGCCATATTCTCAAGATAAGAACTAAACACTGAACGGGTGTGATCGCAATCACAACAAAAAACTGTGCGCATTGAAACGAATGAAGCTTCTCGAAAACAAACCCGGTGTTACGTGTGGATCTTTGGCCGGGCATAAAATCTGAGCAGTAATGCGGAAGACATAAATCTTTACCGGGCGTACAGTTTGAGCGGTAGAACATTGCCGGTCCGATCGGCCAATTTGCCGTCCGGAAACCAAGCGGGGTTCACTTTTCTTTTTTCGGCTTCGCCTGTTTGTCCGTCAGGTCGGATCCTCGCCACACGTCTCTGCCTGTGAGCTTCCACCAGCGACCCTTGAGGTCGTTCATCACACTTTCCGGGGAAATCGTGAAATCGGGGTTGCCGAATTGACAATGCCGAAGCAGCCACGATGCATGCTTCTTGCAAGTCTTGCAAGTGATGTATACACTGTGCGGGTTGTGGCCGATGACATCATCATGATGGGGAATGCCAGTCACGCAACTGAGCATGTCATTCGGCTGCACCGTCGGTGAGGAGCCGCTCCAGGATACAACACTGGCTGATGAGGCTGACATGGAATTCCATGAACTCGTCACAGAAACAACGGTTGGTGATGCGGGGGCCGAACTTCCCTGCGACCTTGCTGATCTTGATCGTCCAGGTCCCCGTGCTGATGATGCGGCATCTGGTGATCGCGGTGGCAGTGCGATGGCAGGTGGTGGTTCTGTCGGTACCTGCGGCGGCGGCGGCTGCTGAATCGTAGCCGATGCTACTGAACTCGATGCCTGTGCGCTGCTGAACAAGTCCGCGTAGGACATCGTGATGTCACCATCGTGATCACGATCCTTTGGAATCGTAGGTGGTATGTTGCGACGTCGGCCGAGCACGCGGCCGTCCCAGCCAGGGTGCTCGCCCATGGCCTTCGCCTCGACGGCGCTCTCCTCGCTGGCGATCGCGTTGTTCTGCCGCATGATCGTGTCCAGAGCGTCATGACAAAGCCGAAACCGAGAGTCATGCCGAGGACCAGCGTTAACGTCAGCAGGCAGATGTAGAAGCTGTAGTCCGGCATCGTTGGCGTAGGCGTAGGCTGTCCTCTGACCTTGCCGAGGCAGGTGAACAGGACTGATGCGAGCATGGCAGCGTGTGGCTGCCGGGTCCCATATGTGTGTTTGCGGGCCCCGAAGAACGACAGCAGGACGCCAGCCTCTATCGTCTTCGTCAAAGCGTCCGCGACCATGGCCCAGGTCGGGATCCAGCTGAGCTTGAGCGCATTGTTGGGGTGCACGGCCTCCTTGATCATGGAGGCGACGATGCGGAGCCGCTTGTCGGTAGACTGGCCCACATCTGAAGCGACGTGCGTCGCGAGACCCTTGCTGTCGCTGTAGATTCATCCCCCCAGGGCGCTTATCGGCGAGCACGTCGATCTGCTTGAGCGCCGTCTTGGGGTTGTAGGCCTCGGCCAGCAGCTGTCGGAAACACATGTTGGTCTCCGATCCTTCGAGGGTAGCGTAGCCCTCGGCAGCGAGGGTCGACTTCACCGACCTTGACTGTGCCAGAGTGCTAGGCGACGGGCAGGCACCGGTCGTAAAGGCCGCCGACGACGTCACGCGGGCGATGAGTGAGCCCCATCACCATGCCCCACTGGCTCTTGACGCCCTCCACGTTGGCGAACGCGGCGTCGCTGAAGCACGCGGTGATGGCCGTCTTCAGGTCGACGAGCTTGCGCTTGAGCACGATCGCGAAGTTCGCGGTGGAGTGCACATAGGCGACTGTCTTATTGAGTGTCTTCGCGTCGGCCACGGTAGCGACGTTGGTGCGTCGAGCTGCGAAGCTCACCGGGCAGGCGATGTCCACCCGGGTCTGCACTGCTGGTCACAACAGCTGCTCGAGCGTGTGGCGGTAGCTCGTCACCTCGGCGGCGGTGGGCCGGTCCTCAGCACCTCGGCCCTTCTGGGCCTTCAAGTCGACGTAGTCCACCTGCGCTGCAGCGGTGGCCTGGGTCACGCGGAACTTGTCGTCGAGCTTGGTAATCGTGCGTCCGCAGTATTTGATGACCCTTCGACTGGCTTGAGGTGCAGCTTCTTCCCCAGCGATGCGATAGTGGTCTTCCTCTTGGTGGAGTTGTTGCGCTGGGCGATAAGGAAGTCGCCCACATGTGAGTGGACCACCGCGGCGAGCCCACCTTCGTCATAGAAGTAGTAGAGGCCCTTCTCGAGCTTGCTCTCCACGAGGCCGTGCTCGGCGAAGACCTTCTGCGCGTAGAGGTACCACTGCCTCCCGGCGTCGCGCGTCCCGCAGATCGCGCCTGTGGCCATCGCGGTCTCGCCAGGCCGCGTCCCCGGCGGCGGGTTCTTGGCCGGCATGCGCAGGAGCAGTAGCCTCTCAATGTTACCCGACTGCAGGTCGGCCGTCATCGCGCCGTAGGACGATGTCCCAGTCTTTCTGGGCCGCGGCGGCTAGGGTCAGGTACAGCGCGCCCCTGGGCCCTGTAGGCGCGTCCGCCCTGATCTGCGACTTGTCCTCCTGGCAACATTGCACGACCAGGCGCGCCTTCATGACGTTCTGGCCCTTGCTGGTCAGCACCCAGCGTGTGCCCACAGGGCGGATGCCAGGGCTACGCCGCAGGAGCTCCTTCAGCTCCTTGGGCGGGAGCTTCTTGTAGGCGCCGAACTCCGTCCACTTGGACCACTCGGTCTTCGTGGCGGCGTCCATGCTCTTTTTCTCGGTGGCGCTCAGCGCGTCGTCCTGGATCTTGCAACCCAGCAAACTCTTGTAGGTGTTCGAAGGATTCTGGCATCCGCGCGCGGCGCCGCGCGGGTGCGTTCTTGGATTTGCGTTTTGCACGGGATTTTTGGAAACTGGTGGTTCGCAATGGATGAATGCACGCGCATGGCATTGTTTTGTCGGGGATGATGGATCGGGGGGGGGGGGGGCGATGCGGGTTCGGCTGGGGTGCCTGGAACGATCGCTCGGCGATTCGAATCCCTTTTGGACCGTCTTCGGGGCCTCTAAGGGCCCTCTTGGGGCCCTCCTGGGCCCGAGCAATTCACGTGGACAACCGCGACGGTGCTGAGGGAACCGTGCCAAACCCAAGGACAGTTTGAACATTTTGGTTCCAGGCCCCTAAGAGGCCTCCCCAAAGTGAAGAGTGAGGCTCAGGGGATGTGGCAAAGGACCTGCGGACGTGCCAATGCCGTGCCCAGGGCACGCAGGGTGGACACGCACACGCTCAAACGCACAACCACACACACACACATACACACATACGCACACACGCACACACGCACACACACATGTCATGATATATATATATATATATATATAGAGAGAGAGAGAGAGAGAGAGAGAGAGAGAGAGAGAAAGAGAAAAAGAGAGAGAGAGAGAGAGAGAGAGAGAGAAAAGAAAAAAAAAAAAAAAAAAAAGCCTGGCGAAGGACCCAACCATATGCAGCTGCGAGTACCGCACGGATATGAGACGAAGGAGGGGGCACGCAAACTAGGCCCCTCTTCTCATAGGCACCGCGCCACTGGGGCCTTCGGTGGAGCTCCCTATGGGGCCACGAAGCGTGTGAAGGGTGTGCCGAAATGGGTGGTGGGGAGGCATGCGGACCCTGCCACTGGGGCCTTCGGTGGAGCTCCCTATGGGGCCACGAAACGTGTGAGGGGTGTGCCGAAATGGGTGGTGGGGAGGCATGCGAACGCAGCCACTGGGGCCTTCGGTGGAGCTCCCTATGGGGCCACGAAACGTGTGAGGGGTGTGCCGAAATGGGTGGTGGGGAGGCATGGGAGCCACTGGGGCCTTCGGTGGAGCTCCCTATGGGGCCACGAAACGTGTGAGGGGTGTGCCGAAATGGGTGGTGGGGAGGCATGCGAACCCTGCCACTGGGGCCTTCGGTGGAGCTCCCTATGGGGCCACGAAACGTGTGAGGGGTGTGCCGAAATGGGTGGTGGGGAGGCATGCGAACCGCAGCCACTGGGGCCTTCGGTGGAGCTCCCTATGGGGCCACGAAACGTGTGAGGGGTGTGCCGAAATGGGTGGTGGGGAGGCATGCGAACCCTGCCACTGGGGCCTTCGGTGGAGCTCCCTATGGGGCCACGAAACGTGTGAGGGGTGTGCCGAAATGGGTGGTGGGGAGGCATGCGGACGCAGCCACTGGGGCCTTCGGTGGAGCTCCCTATGGGGCCACGAAACGTGTGAGGGGTGTGCCGAAATGGGTGGTGGGAGGCATGCGAACGCAGCCACTGGGGCCTTCGGTGGAGCTCCCTATGGGGCCACGAAACGTGTGAGGGGTGTGCCGAAATGGGTGGGGGAGGCATGCGAACGCAGCCACTGGGGCCTTCGGTGGAGCTCCCTATGGGGCCACGAAACGTGTGAGGGGTGTGCCGAAATGGGTGGTGTGTACTGGGGGGTGTGAAATGGGTGGTGGGGAGGCATGCGAACGCAGCCACTGGGGCCTTCGGTGGAGCTCCCTATGGGGCCACGAAACGTGTGAGGGGTGTGCCGAAATGGGTGGTGGGGAGGCATGCGAACGCAGCCATTGGGGCCTTCGATGGAGCTCCCTATGGGACCACGAAGCGTGTGAGGGGTGTGCCGAAATGGGTGGTGGGGAGGCATGCGAACCCTGGAGGGAGGAGGGCGAGGAGAAGGAGGAGGAGGAGGAGGAGGAGGAGGAGGAGAAGGAACGCGGGGACCGTTTCTTCAAATCGAGGACCCAACACCACAGGATGGTTGGGGAAAAAGAGAGAGAGAGAGAGAGAGAGAGAGAGAGAGAGAGAGAGAGAGAGAAAAAAAACAAAGAGAGAGAGAGAGAGAGAAAGAGGAAGAGAGAGAGAGAGAGAGAGAACGAGACAGAGATAACGAGAAAGAGAGAGAGAGAGAGAGAGCGAGAGAGAAGGAGAGAGAGGGAGAGAAAGAGAGAGAGAGAGAGAGAGACAGGAACAAAAACAAACATCGCCCGCCGAGTTTATTCACGACACGCGGGGGGTCGTGGGTGGCAGCTGGACACCTTCCGATTGAAGAAAAAACTGCATAAACATTCGCAGTTCCACGCGGATATTTCTTTGAACGGCGCTGGGTCCCCCTTCCTTGCGCGCGGACCGCGCCAGGGACGACCCCAGAGGCGCCGTCGGGCGGGCAGCGCCGATCCGAAGAGTCTGCACGGAGCTCCGAATGTATATGTTAATGTTGTTTTTTCTTCCTCGATCCTGGCGGTGGGAGGCAGCTGGACAACATCACCAGCTCCGAGGACTTCGAGGGCTGCTGCCCGGACGGCTGGGATTTCGCCATGATCGGCACCCTCGGCGCCGAGGGCACCGCCGAGGAGGACGGAGTCCGCCCCGGCAGGGCACACGCCATTTCGGCGATGGTTCCTTTTTTTGGGCGCTGAGCTGACATTACGTGCTATGCTTTCTACGTCCGTCCTCCTCCTCCTTCTCCTTCTCCTCGTCGACTGCATCATCGACTCCATTTCTGGCGGCCGTGAGTGGCCTGCTTGCGGCGTTGCCTGTCCCGCCCGCCGCATAGCCAGGACACGCGTCCCCCATTGGATGCGTGCATTCCTCCTCCTCCTCCTCTTCCTCCTCCTCCTCCTCCTCCTCCTCCTGGTCCTCCTCCTCCTGGTCCTCCTCCTCCTCCTCCTCCTCCTCCTGGTCCTCCTCCTCCTCCTGGTCCTCCTAGTCGAATGGGAGGGTTCTATGTTCAGCTGGATGCAGGAAGGATTTTCTGCGCCATTTTAGGTCGACTTTCCGCGCCTGCCTTATTTGCGCCTTTACACATCGCTTTATTCCGCGAACTGAAAAGTACCAGATTCCATCCTGATCCCTTTAGTTGGTAACAGAGCTCCGGCTCCGTAATCTATTGCCGCCATGGCCCGCGTGGTTCTCCCTTCTCGCCATGCGTCGGCCGCGCCAACATCGCACCCTCATCGCTTTATTCAACCCCAACAAGTTCAGCATCTTCAAGAACCCCGCCTTCGAGTTCCTCGAGCTCACCGCATTCAACATTCCAGCCCGTCCATCTGGATCGGGATCGTCTTCGCGTTGACCAACCAGTCCTTTGCGACGGGGGAGCCGCACCCGTCAATTTCCGAAAATATCAACTCCAAGGACCGCGCCCCCGCGCCCCCCCTCCCGGCGCCTTCTCCCGGGCTGGCCAAGACTAGATGTCTGAGCAGCTCGTGGACCCAACACCATCCGCGCATTCGCTTGTGAATGCAGGCTCAGACGTCAGACAGTTGATTGACACAACGTTCACGTTTACGGTTTTGGCGCAGGGTCCACAGCTTCTTGCGACTATGTTGCCAGAGCCCTGGGGGATAAAAGGCGACGCGCACGACGCCGACGCCCTCATTGCATCCGCCTGTGGGTGAAGCCGAAGGTGTCAGACAGTTGTTCGATGCAGCGTTCACTTGTCCGGCGTTGGCGAAGCGCCCCGAGTTATTGGTAACTATGTTGCCAGGGCCGGGGGGGGGGCGCAGGCTGAGAAGAGCGAGAAGATAAAGGAGGGTTTGGACATTATGTGGTCAGCACCCCGAGGGAACTTCGACACGAACTTTGGACCATTCGTCGATCTCTCGGAACCTGCCTTTCCGTTGTATTCGCGCACTCCTGCTACTTGGCAGACTTGGATCCCGACGCAGACTCTTCTTGACTATCGCACGGTTGGCGGTGCCCAGCACAGCGACAACGCGGCGCACGACTGCCGAACGCGCCGCAACCAACCGACAGAAGAAGGCGCCCAATCCGCTGACGAGGAAGAGCATGCCCGGAACGGATACCCACGACGGTCCCGAGGCAGTTTTCCCAAGCATCGTCGCTGGTGGGTTCCAGGACTCAAGCACCTGCTCGATGCATGGATGGGGACTCCGTTCCGGATGAGTGGGCATGGTCGCTGCCGCCAGTTGCGCCGCTTGCATGGGCGCTGGCGGTGGTGGTGGTGGCAACATGCGACACCTCCGCACTTGGGGGGTTCGAGCAGCAAGCTCGCGTGCCTTTCCAATGCTGGGCGCGGGAGGTCATGATCTGGTCAGTGGCGAACTCCGATCTCAACGAGTTCCGCCAATCGGCCTACATCATGGCGCGCGAGTGCGCGGGCGAGTGGCCGCCAGCTGCCCTGATCCCGGGAGATCATGCCAACGGTAACCCAACGCCGCCCATGAGTTTCCCCATGCGCAGCGCAGCCGAACAGCGGGGCCTGATAGGTGAGGGGGAGCGCGCCCGAACGGCGTCGGCCCTGATGAACTTCAACCGGTTGCCGCAGGAACGCGTCGAGAACCTCCCCACCTGGTTCGACATCCTCTGCAACAAGGCGCAGCTGGCTGGTCAGGCTACGAGGCAGTCAGCTTCTTCCTACTGCGCGCGGTGGGCGCGTCGAACATTTAGCTCACAATGGTCTTGCAGCGCTACATCGTGGCCTGCCCCACGAAATCTCAGCAGCTGTCGCGCATGACTGGCCAGCTGCGACGGCTTGGGCACATGATCGAGGGGTCGCCAGGCAACCTCGCCACGGCCGCTCACTCGACCCAGCGCCGCGCGTTCCTCGCGGGCACGCTCCCGCAAGATCCGGCTCGGAGTGCTTATGGCATTACGGCCGGATCGAGCTGTGATGGCATGGGCCCCGCTGCCCTGGGAGTGGCGCCGAGCCCACCTGCGGCATTGGCCGCCGCCGACACTGGCGCGGCATCTTCAGCACAAGTGGCATACCCAGCAGCGGGTGTCGGTTCAGGCGCCGACACGAACATCGTTTGGAGCCTCGTGGGTTTTTTTTGGGCCGTCTTGGAACAGTCTTGGGGTCCTCTTGGGCTGGACCCCCCAAGATATACCTCA